AATCATCTATAGACTCTCAGCATCCATTCTCTCATTTCTTGAAGATTTTAGTTTCTGCTTTACTTGTCCTTCTCTCCAAAACGTCTCCTGTTGTAATTTGTGTTCTTCTCACTCACGTCTCTTTTAACTTCTCCTCCTATGACCTTGTCTTTTGCTCTACTTCAGTGACCCACACCCATGGTTACAACCTGGATCTTGTCATTACCAAGATTATTCTTTATAATCTCAATTTCAAGAATCCTACACTAACCAATACCTCTAGTTTTTCCAGCTTATTTCTTCTAGTACTCCAACTTCGATAATTCTGAGACCTAAAATCCACTGCTCTTACACCATTTTCACTTCCTTTGACCTACTTCATATCCTCACATCCCTCCTTATCCACCTGAGTCCATGGTCAGTCATTATAATCACTCCCTTGCCTCTTTTTCCTTCATAGTACCACCTAGAAACACTTCAGCCCTGCTTGAGTCCAATTAACCCACCTATCCCATACCTGTATCTGCAGTGAGGCTGGTAAAACACACGATGCCAACATGACTGCCAACCCCACGGAGGCCTTTAGTGCTGCTCCTGTATTACACAAGTCTATTCACTCTCCTCGATGACTATTCTACACTTCATCTTTTCTCCTCAAATCTCCAACCTTCTCTCCATTCTAACTCTCTGAAGAGAAAATAGAAACAATCAGGGAAGCATTTCCTCATGCTCCACCAATACATCTAGCAACCTTCTACTTCTGTTTCCATTTTTTCTCCCTTCCTCTCTGATATGGATGAATAGTCCATGTGCCTAAAATGAACCTCTCCCATCCACTAGATCCCATCCCTTTTCATTACTCAAGGACATGACATGACTCCAACAATCGTCCCTCTCTTTTCTCTAACATCATTCCCCTCCCTCAAAATTGGGTCATTACTATCATCAATATAACAAATAAGCTGTAACATAGCCCATCCAAAACAAAACCCCAGTAACTCCATATCCTTTCCTCTTCTCCCTAACCTACAGTTTCATTTCTCTACTGCCCCTAAAGGAAAACTTGTAAGACTTGATTGTTTCCAATTTCTCTTTTTCCATTCTCTTTCTCTCATCATTTCTTTGCCCATTTTTTTTTAGCTCGAAAAATTCTGATCATACCAAAAGAAATGTTGAAAGAATAAACACTTTACATTCTTCACCTAAAGCTATCAATTGTTCAAAATAATTAACATTTTCCACATTTGCTTAATTTCACTCTTTCTATAAATACCCACAAATACATATACTCTTTTGGAGGACACTGAACCCCCCAAAATAAGTTGCAGACATTATGACACATCTCCCCAAATTACTTTGACATGTATCTCCTAAGAACAAGGATATCTTCTTCATAACCCAATACACTGTTACACCCAGAAAACAGTAACACTGATTTAGTGTTACTCTACATCAATATGCAGTTCATATTTGAATTTTCCTAATTGTCCCTACAATGTCCTTTATAGCAGTATTTTTTGTTGTTGATATAAGATCTAATTAAAGTTCATGCATTGCTCTTGATTATGTCTCTTCAATTTCCCTTACAATTCCCCCTGCCTGGCTTTTGTCTGCCAGGACATTGACATTTTTGGAGAGTCTAAATCAGCTGTCTTGTAGAATGGTCCATGTTCTGGATTTATCTGATAATTTTTTCATGATTAGTTTGGATATATTTGGGGGAGGCAAGATTATTACGTAAGTGATTTGTGAACATCACATCCAATGCACATAATATCAGTTTATCCCACTGTGATGCTACCTTAGATCATTTGGTTAAAATGACACATGCCAGATCTTGCCATTGTAAAGGTACCTTATTCCCCGTGTAATTATACGTATAATATGTGAGACGATACTTCCAGATCATGTGACTATCTTGCTATCCAATGGCCTTTCATCTAATACAGCGGTTCTCAACCTTCCTAATGCCGCAACCCCTTAATACAGTTCCTCATGTTGTGGTGACCCCCAACCATAAAATTATTTTCGTTGCTACTCTATAACTGTAATTTTGCTACTGTTATGAATCATAATGTAAATATTTTTTTGTTTTCCGATGGTCTTAGGCGACTCCTGTGAAAGGGTCATTTGACCCCCAAAGGGGTCGTGACCCACAGGTTGAGAACCGCTGAATAGATTTTGCATCCACTAATTTTAGCATCCATTTGCCTGAATCAATTATTACACTGGAGGTTGCAAAATAGTCAGGAATAGCCATCCACATTTATTTGCCAGTATTATATTTGAAGAACTTTCCCTTTCACTGCACCACTTTTGGCTTGTTTTATTATTATAGATTCATGGATTCTTTTTCTTACTCAATATATTATAATCCATTGCCATCACTAGTCTTTTTGATGTTCCAATTGTCCAGTGAAAGCACCTCCAATTTGATCAGTGGGAGCACCTTCAAACCAGTTCCTATGTTCTTTTGACATGTATCCATTGGTTTTGTACACTTCCTTGCTTTATGACATAAGATCTGCTTCAGGCTCATTTTTCACTTTCCTTGCCCCAGACTTAAAATCAGCCATTTCTCTAAGGAGCCTTGGTGTGGGGTTCTTTTTAGTAGGGATGGTATTTAGAAACCATCGTCTGGATGCTCACGGTGCTCACTGCTACTAAGTTTTTCTTGCAAATCATTTAATATCACTTCGTAGAAATCTTCCTTATTCTTTTTTATGATTAAACAGTACTGTATTGTATCACAGTACCATAGTATATTCAACTAGTTTTCCATGGATAAGCATTTAGATTATTTCCAATATTTATAATTATTAGAAATAATGTCACAACAAATAACTTTGTGCATATGTTGTTTCATATTTGTGGAGATATACCTTTAGCTCAATTCCACTAAGTCACACATTCTCTCTTGAACCCATTACAATCAGGCTTTGCCCTTATTGACTCTTGTCAAGTTCACTGATGACCAACATGTTGCTAAATCCAACTGTCAATTATCCTCGTCTTACTTGGACCTTCAGCAGCACTTGACACAGCTAATTATTAGTTATTCCTACCTTCTTAAATTGCTTTTTTAACTTAGCTCCCAGGATACCACTCTCTCTCGGTCTTGACAGTCACAGTCTTGTTTGTTGGTTTTGCCTTTCTTCTCTGACCTCTAAATATTATAATATTCTTGGGCTCAATCTGCAATCTTTTTCTTTTCCCTTCTCACTCCATAGGAGACCTTATCTAATATCATGCTGGTAACTCTTCAAAATCAGCCTAGATTTCTCCAAATTCCAATTCATCTTTCCATCTCTTACTTGCTGTATGATTTCGTGTAGAAGATATCTCAAACTTAACATGTCTAAAACCAAACTCTTAATTTTCTCTCCAAGTCTGCTCCTTCCACAGTCTTCCTATTTCTGTAAAGGGCAACGCCAATCTTCCTGATGCTCAGGTCAAAAATCTTGGGATAATCCTAGACTTCTTTCAATTATACCTTACATACAAATTCATCACCAAATCTTGTTGGCTGTACCATATATATTATATATAATATATATTCTTTCACACCATCTCTACCACCACTTACCACCGCTGTCCTCATCCAGCCAACCTCATTTTCGTCTAGATGAATTCAGTAATTTAACTAATCCCTGCTTTCCCACTTCCACACCCAGGCTATTATTAATACAACAACTAGAGGGACCTTTTAAAATGGAACTTAAGAGTTCACTCTACTCTTCTCCTAAATACTTCCCAATGGCTTCCCTTTTCACTCAGAATAATGGCTAAAGTCTTTACAACCATCCAGTCCCTATACAATCTGAATTCCTGTCTCCTCTCAGACCTCATCTGCAACTATTCTCCCCATCTCTCACTTGCTGTTTCTTAAACATGCTAAAGCACATTACCTGTTCTAGACTTTTGCACCTTACTGTTTCCTCTGCTAGAGTACTCTTTTCCAGATATCCACCTGCTTTCTTCCTTACTTCCTGGGGGGCTTCATTTACAGTTGGGAAAACTGTATAGAATAGGGAAGGAGGTATAGGGATCTAACAGCTTTCATTTAATTCTCCGTATTTTAGCACCATTCTTTCACCTGTAATATCCAGAGCTTTGAGAAATCTGAAACATAGGTTGGGTTGGTTCTCAGTTTTCTTGACTACTGTTTCAGAATTAGGTTATTTCAGGTCTGCTAGTTGCCACTCATCCATCTGCTTTCAAACTTCCAAAAATGTATGATTCTGTTTGACTCTCTTATCTGCCCCATCCTGTGGGCTTACAACTTAAAACAAACAAATATTTAAAACCTCTTTACTATGCTTTCAGTCAAGGTTTGAGAGGGGACAAAACATGATATGTATGTCATTCTGTAATCTTAATGTGGACATTTTAATCAATTTCATTTTAAAAAGCATATGCTATAAGGCACTTTTAAAGGGCAAAACCTTTTCTAAAAATAAACAAAAGAGCACTACAAACTTTAAAAAGATTTTTAAAAATCACAAGTATAAAAACAGTTTTGAGGTTTGTTCTAGTCTTATTTTTCATATACATATACTATATTCTTTATCATGCATTTGGTATTTCATAAAAACAGAATGCTGTCAATGAATTGGTTTGTACTATTTGTGATAATTCCAAGTTATTTGGTGATACAGTAGACCTCCCCATATTTTTGAAAAAGTAGAACCCTAACATCATTTTTAAAAAAAAAGGTAACTAAATTCCATTTATTACAAACAACATTCCAGGAAACCCCTTTAAAATCTGAAGTACTCAGGGAGCCATAATATAGCTATGGAAAAATAAATTAAGCAGTGGTCTTTCCCACTCAACTATGCTTAAAGTCTAATTTACTCTAAGAGAAAGAGCCAATTTCAAAGCATATCTTTCTATACTACCAGATAAAGCAAATGGAAAGTATATATCAATCAAACCAATAATAAACAATTACCATAAATATATTATCATTTTGGTTATAGCAATCTCCTACAAATTTGGCAACTAGAAACAAAACTTACCTGTCTAAGAATATATCTGGGAGTGGTGGATAGGTTTGCATGTCAGGCACTCTCTCGTGGACTATAACCATAATGAAAGATGTAAACCCAAATACTATAAAAACATATATACAACTCAGTATGGTCTTCCAGTACTCTGGGTCCAATCTTCGAACAGAATGTTTGTTTTTACCATTCATGTACTGGTACTGATCAGAATTCAAATCAGCGATGGGTCCATCACAGTCATGTGAAGGCTCCCCATTACAGAGCCACTCTGCGCTCTGAAGAGCACTGATGAAAGGAGTCATGGAACTCATGGGACTGTCACTGTTGTATCCCATCTCCTCTAAAACATCAATGTGTATTTTCTGCAGTTTTCGGACCGAGAGCATTAACCTTTTAATGTCCCCTAAGACTTTGATTTCCAGAGGAGGAGACCGGAGGTCATATTCAGTCAGCGTTAGCAATGTGATTCCATCAAGTCGGTGCTTATTGCACAAAATGTCCACATATTCAAAGAAGCCTTCATCCTTCAGCCAAACAGCTACCTGCTTGGTAGTCCAGCGGCGAATGCAAAGCTGATTAGGACCGGCCATTTCCTCCTCTGCTGTCTGTTAAGGGTAAACAAGAAAACAAAACAAAAACTTCAGTGTGTCCTAACAACTCCTTTGAAGACCAAATACATACTAACAAACCAGATACAGTAATTTGCCAATGCTGCCCTATTGGCTTCTAGAAGAGTGACAGGAACAAAAATTATTCAATATTAGTGGTTTTCAATAGATTAAATTCTAATAATTTTAATTTTATGCACATAACCCAAATACCAGAAAGGTTAATGACCAAACATTTTTACAAAACGTTATTTTACAAATGGCTTTTCCACATGACAGCAGCCATAACTTACTTAGATAAAGCCTACTGTTGCGAACAATGGAGAAAAATCCCATTTTAGTACTTTTCATAAAATGAGATATATAAAATAGTTATATGTAAAAATAAATTAAATTTTGGAAATCTTTGTGTTCATGAAGTCTCTTCTCCTCCTCCAAAAAAGAAAAAAAAATCCAAAGGTAGATAGATAACTAATTTGGGGAAACCCCTTAGATTATCTATGGACTATACAAATAACAGTTTCTATAACAGATATAAAGTCTTCAAATTGGATATAAATATCTTAATAGCTCAGTTCTTTTTTTTCTTTAAAGATTTTATTGGGGAATTGGGGGAGGGAACAGCATAGGGGAATCGGGGAAGGGAAACAGACAAGTTGCTGTCCTTTCTGTTCTTCAGTCTAATAGTGGAGGGCGTCACTTCACTGGCCCATGTTGGTATTATCATTGCACTCTTCCTGGGTGAGGCAGTCACTCGCTGGCATTGGACGGCCGCTCACTGCAGCTCACATTGGCTGCTGGCCACTCACCATATCTTATGGCAGCCCACTGAAGCGTCACTGCAGCCTATGCCATGGCCAGTGACTCACGGCAGCCCAGCTCCAGGTCCAGCTGTTGTTCACCACCTTAGCTGTAGAGGTCAGTGTCACTGGCGCTCATGTGGGATCCGAACTAGGGCCCTGCTGCTCAGACCTGGCGTCCAAAGCCAATTCTTAACCAATGCGCCACTCAGCCTGCCCAGCTCAGTTCTTTCTATACTTTGAATATTCCATTATAGAACTGAATAAGGAATTTCTTTCTTAAACTATCGAGATTTTAATAAAAAATTTAAAACAAAACTGCCATTTCAATGTACCATAAATTTGAGGACCCAAACTTTATATTGTATTGGGTTGTTGGAAAAGGCATGACACATTTTTGCAATGAAAAATATAGAAAAAATACGTCATGACTTTTCCGACAACCCAATTACTATAAAAGGCTAATAACATACTGTTTCAAAAAGTACTAATAATTTTTACTACTTTGATTCCATATAGCACTGTTTATGTTCTTTTTCCATTTTAAAACTTTCAGTAACTTGGGTCAACATCAGGTTTATAAACTATCAGATACACAGGAGATAAAGGCTTACGTGGAAAAAACCTATCTCCCCGTAGCACTTTCTCAACTACTAAGTCTGTGGGTTTTCTGACATTTTCCAGATCTCTAAAGACCATATTTCTTTCTGAGATGGTTTTTTAAAAAAAACACACAAAAAAACACATTAGGCAAACTTTAAGGCATTTAAAAAAAAAAAAAAGAATAATACAAGAAATACCCTGGGCCGGCTGAGTGGCACGTTAATTAGGAGTTGGCTTGGGACGCCAGCTCTGAGCAGCAGGGCCCCAGTTCGGATCCCACATGAGGGCCAGTGACACTGCGTCCTCTACAGTTAAGATGGTGAACAACAGCTCAACTTGGAACTGGGCTGCCGTGAGTCGCCGACGACAATGTAGGCTGCAATGGGGCTGGCCAGCAATGGGTGTGAGCTTTCGTGAGCTGCCTTGAGCCACTGTGAGCTGCTGTGAGCAGCTGTCCAATGGCCAGCGAGCGACTGCCTCATCCGGGAAGAGCACAATGATAATACCAACATGGGCCAGTGAAGTGACGTCCTCCACAACTAGACTGAAGAACAAAAGGACAGCAACTTGTCTGTTCCCCTCCCCCAATTGCCCAATAAAATCTTAAAAAAAAAAAAGAAATACTAATGTGCCCACTATGCAGTTTGAAAAAAAATCAAACAGCTCTGATACAAATGTTCTGTTTCTTAATCTAGGTATTAATTATATAGGTATGTTCATTTTGTGAAAATTCATCAAGCTACTGATGAGGTGTGATGTGATCAAAACATATGGTGAATGTTTAAATTAAAAAAAATTTATTACAGTAAAAGACACATTGAATCGATTCAAAACGTTTACCTTTCATGGTCATTTTGACTTTGGGGAAGAGCCAGAAGTTGCACAGCACCAGATCCGGTGAATAAGGCGGATGAGGATGTTTTTATTTGACAGAAATTACTGTACCAGAAGCGATGTATGACATGGAGCCTTTCCGTTGTGATAAAAAAAATATGGTGAATGCTGCTGCCAAGTGCCATCCAATTGAATGGCAGGGATCTTCAATACAGGAAGCAGCGCATCGAACCTTAGTAACAGTGTGTGACAAGTTTCAACTTGTTTGGTGCAGTCAGTCAGGTGTAAGCTATGGTTGAGAGAAGGTGTGTTTTAAAGTGTGCCGTAAATCATCCTCCATCATGACAACACTCCATGTCATACCTTGCTTTTGATATATGGCAATTTCTGTCAAAAACATTACGGTATGTCCTCATCCACCTTATTAACCCGATCTGGCACCATGAGACTTCTGGCTCTTCCTCAAAGTCAAAATGATTCAGGACATCGAGGCAGCCATGACAGCGCAACTAAAGACACTCACAAAAGAGGACTCCCAGAACTGCTTCAGAAAGTGGCAAGAACGATGGGATAAGTGTGTTGGAAGCGAGGGGGAGTATTTTGAGGGGGATTAATGACAATGTGTCTTTTACTGTAATATATTTTATTTAAACATTCACTGTATTGTTTGATCACACCTCGTACTTATGATCTATACTTTTCTCTACATATGTTAAACTTTATTTTGAAAGTATGACTTCAAAAGCAAAACAAAACATCAATACAGTGAATGTCCTTCTCTGATAGTATCCCCTTCCTCTCCTCCCAGATGTAGTGATTCCTGATTTTGGTGTTTACCATTCCCTTATAACATGCATTTTTGGCTATGAAAAACCTTCTGTTTCCTTATGCTGAGCAAAGCTCTGCACTCTCCCCCATCCCCACAACTCTTGCCATGAAGACTTATAATCACTTGAAAAAGGCAGATGCTTAACTACATGAGCACCACTTATACCATTAAAAACATTCAGCAAATGAGAAATACACTTACTAAATATTTATTTCTTAAATACTAAAAAGTAATTCTAGTTTTTGGAAGCCTTAAATCATATTTTGTTTCTAAACAGTTTTTAAATATTATAAATACACAATAGCTTTCAGTCTTACAAAATTAACAGCACATCCACCTATAAGTTATCTGCATGTTTTAAAAGGCTGTCTAATCCTTACATACTGTAGTCCCACAAAAACTCTTACTCAAGTCTTCTTTTTAGCTACAGCATATCATCACCATCCCAAATGCCAAAGAATTATGATTTATTCACTTTAACACATGGAATTTAGACATGCTGATTTATATCACTGATTACATAAATACATATATGTAATTCCATTAAAATATGATTTTGCTATGCTTTAGTTCATATACATAGCCAGATGGTTTCATCCTATCCACTACATACATATTTTTTCCCAAAGGTATGCTCTGAATAAATTATTTCATCCTTGAATATCCAACAAACACATGCTACGAACTCTTCAGTAGTTATGATGTAGATTTGAGAAGCTCATCTCATATAAAACATTTCTTCTGTCCTTTTACTTCTATTTTGCTACTTTTCTCCTTCCTCCAACAGCTTACCTCCAATGGGTTCCAAGTCACTCCCATCCTTGTAGCATTACAGTACAGTTTCGTATTATGAACTGCTCAAAATGATCTTCTCTTTCTTTCTTTTTTCTTTTTTGGTCTTATGTTACCTGTTCTTTGCACCCTCAACCAAGCTAACAAACAGGCTTTGATGGTGGTGTTTTAGCTGCTAGAAATTATGAGTTATTATACAAGGAAGTCTCCTGGGAGTCTTTGAGCCTGCTGTGGCAATGCTCTAAAAACATGACGCATTCCACTGTTGTGCTTTATCAGGCCAGGGCATGTCCTTTAATTGTAAGTTACTACACCTAGTTAGGTGCCCGTACTTGGCGAATACTGTGAACACCTGCATTAAAGAGGTATATTAAAAGATGACAGAAGGCTTTAGGGCCAATTTACTATTTAAGTTGTCCCATAGGAACTACAGTGAACAGGAGACTTTGAACGAAGAATATGACAGATATAGGTTTCATACAAATCCACAAAATGAAGAAACTAGGTCAGTAAATGTTTAAGAACACTTTCAGCTTTAACCAATGATTAATGTGAATCAATTATCAGTCAAAGGGATTTCTGCTTCTGACCAAGATGTAATAAGAGGGACTAGATTTATCCTCCCACCTGAAACAACCCCAAAACAGACAAAATACTCGTATATGGGGGGGGGGAGAGTTTTAAGACCCTGGACTCAGACAATACAGGAGTTCCCTGAGGTACAGGAAATAAGGTGAGTCCTACTGCCCCAGCTTACTACTGTGAATGTTTCTAGGCCGTTAGTGGCACAGGATGGAAACTGGATGAGGTCTGGGAGACTGGCTAAGTTGAGGAGATAGAGCTGAGAGTCTGAAGAGATCAAGGTGGCTAGTGTTCATGGGACAGAATATTGAAGAGCAGAAAGATAAAGACAGAAAACTTGTCATGGACTAAATGTTTTGTGTCCCCACCAAAAACTCATATATTGAAATCCTAACCTCCAGTGGGATGGCATTAGGAGGTGATTAGGTCATGGAGGCAGAACCCTCATCAACGAAATTAGTGCCCTTATAAGAGATAATCCAGAGAGTTCTCTCACCCCATCTACCCTGTGAAGACAGTCAGAAGATGGCCATTTATGAACTAGGAAGTGGGCCTTC